TTTTCAATACAACCTCAATTGATTTCTTCTTGATTGTCTGTTGAAGTAGAGTTACCCCTATTTTGTGGAGTAGCAGTGAAGACTGCAAGGCTTTGGTTTATTCAGGATCCTCTAACCCACCTTTGTTGGATGTACTGGCAACTCCCTGAGTGATCTTCCACCTGCGAGTAGCTGCATCTAGGGGCTTTCCTCACCTGTGCACCCCGCTCTTGGCGGCAAAGCGTCCACTATCACTTGCTGAGTACCTTCTAGGGTTGGCACTGTGGTCTGGTCACTGTAGCTCAGTAGCCGAGTGTAAGGGGTGAGGGATGTCTCTTTCCATTCCTCCATCATATATCCCCCAGCCAAATCTGGAACAAGGACTTTCCAATGTGTCCTTTGTGTCCCTTGCCTCGGCCTGGCTACCGAACAGCCGTTCACAGGGATAGGGTATGTCTGTAAGATCTGTAGCCAGTCAGCAGGCATCGCCATCTGAACGTCCATTAGGCGTCCAGCCATATTTCGTAACCATTTGAGTTGTCCCCGAATCTCCTGTAAGGACTTCCAATTCATTGTAACTCAGTCCCAAAGGTTGTCCAACCTGATTACCCCTTTTTCCGCCCAAGCTACCCCAAAATTTCCGGGGGAGCTCTGAGCGGAGAAAGGGGATCCAGCAGAGTTGCACAACCTTGGATTGTCAAAAATGGGTTGTGCCAGTACTTCATCAATCATCTCTGGGTCTGCGAAGGACTCTGGTAGGATCTTGGCCCAAGCATAAATAATATAGCACCAAAAACGTGACTTGGGTCTTTTATGAGTAAAGGGTTTCATCAACAAGCAAGTCCAAACATCCGTAGGATTTGCCAGGTCTCACTCTGTACTCAAAATATAATCCGCCAGCCATATCCACGCATGCTTGAAATCTGCTAACATGGCCCTGATGGGCCATTTAGCAAGCAGGGAGATGTTTTGCTGTCTAGGCCTTTAGAAAAAAAAACTTCCTCTACCTTCGCTTCTGGTTTCCACAAAAAAATTGCGGAGACTTTCTTAATCTTCCTATAGGCTTTGTCCCCTAACAAATGAACCATTAACGGGTACCAGAGAGCTGATAGCCCTGCCGAAGTTAGAACCATGGCACGACCCAGTAAGGGCAAATGTTGGGTGTACTCCCATCTTGAGATTCTTTGACAGACTTTTTCTTCAAGAAGTTGATCCTGTAGCTTTAAGTTATCAGATAGTGACACTTGAATGCCCAGATATCTATCCGAGGCGTCAGTGGGGATTCTTCGCATGCCCCAATTCACACTTATCCGAAACTGAGCTGGAAGAAAAAACACGGATTTATTCAAATTTATTGAGGCCTCCGATAGGATAGAGTAATCATTCAATACTTTTCGTAGCGTGAGCATAGTGTTCATATTCTTAACACACGTTATGGTCAGATCATTGGCTAATGCGCCGCCTTTCCATTGATAATTATCGTGTAGTTGCAGTCTCGGGATTTGATCATTTAGTCTGATATTATCTAACAAAATTTCCAGATGCAACACGAACACGAGTGACGCCAGGGGGCAACCCTACCTTAGAGAGCGCGTGAGGTTGGATTTCGAAGATAACTGGTTGTTCACCATTACTTTGGCTGTAGCAGTAGAGTACATCACTGAGACCCATCGACAAAAGTTTGGGCCAAAACCAAGATGGATCAGTGTGGTGCCCATGAAGGCCCAACCAACTTTATTGTACGTTTTTTCCATGTCAATGAGAAGGATAGCCACATCGTATTGTTCGTGTGCTATGACTTCAAGCGCTTGGATAGTCGCCGCTATATTGTCCATTATTGATCTGTGTTTGACAAATGCTCCCTGATCTGGGTTAACTAAACTAGGCAAGTACTTAGTTAAACGCAAAGATAAAACTTTCACCAATATCTTATATGAGACATATAAGAGAGAAATTAGTCTCCAATTTCAGATATCTAATTTATCCCCTTTTTTGTATAGAAGAGTAATAATGCCTAATTGCATACCCTTCGTTAAAGAGCCACCAATCAGTACACCATTGTAAACTTTTACTAGGCTTGGTCCAATAACGTCCCACACAGCAAGGTACACTTCCACCGGCAGGCCATCCGATCCCAGTCTTCCCAAACACTTGCCTGAGGCCATTTAGCATACTGCAAACTTTAATTCTTCAACGGTGAAAGAACGGTCTAAGTCTAACCTACCTTGCTGGGCTAGGCAAACCGTCGTTCTGCCCAGAAACAAGAATTAATCCTCAGGTCGAAATAGAAGGTGTCATAAGGTCGTCTCGTAGTTAAGATATCTTGGAAGTATTCATGGCGTACTCGCACATCCCTTTGGGTCCGATCTCGTGGGGACTGAATTTGCAAATGGATGAGCCAATTCCCTGATTAGAGGTTTAGTTTTTTGCAGTAAAAGTCTCCGGAAAGTCTCATGATTTAATCTGTCGTTTGTGATTATTCCTTTTTGCTGCAACCAAGCTTTCCAATTTTTTTGTTGCTGGATCTGTATATTGTCCAACTCGCTAAGTGCACGCTTCCTCTCTCTTGTCCAATAGACGTCCGAGATCGGGTGTTCTCCAAAGTGACTCTCTATTTCTTTTACTCGTTTGATCCATTTCTCTTCCACCTGTTTCTTCTCCACTGCTTTAATTCTTGAAAATATATCCAAAAAGTTTTTCGTAATATTCATTCCTGTTTCTTCTCCAGGCTTCTGTTGATGAAAACAGGTGCTTGACTTCTTGCCACTTGGACCAGTGTTTCCTGACCCAGTCTAGCACGTTTTCGTCCTTAAGATGCTCAACATTCAAGCGGAACGGTGGATTGGTAGCTGAGTTTGGATTGCTCACATCCATTTCGGCTGTTACCGGCCAATGATCGGCTATGAATCCCCCCCGGCGGCAGCCAAGCGCGGCGAAGTCCACGGTCGTGGCCAGGTCCGCGCGACCACGCGACTTTGCGGCCGCATGACAGCCAGTGGGGAGGGGGGTTGGGGATTTGGTAAGCGCCATGGGGCGGCGCAACCCCAGCCCCACCCCCTCAAACAAAAAAAAAATTAAAAAAACAATTTTTTGGGTGGGGGGTTTCGGGTGACTGAAGGTATTTCAAAAAAAAAAAAAAAAAAAAAA